AAATATCATGAGAAAATACAAACCAATGTACCTCATGAACACAAATGTAAAATTCTTCAACAAAATACTAGCATAATTGAAATTTATACCAAGAATACAAAGTTGGTTTCACATTTGAAAGTCAATCAGTATAATTCAAAATATGGACAGAATAAAGGAGAAACACAACAGGACTATCTCAATGCAGAAAAGGCATTGGACAGAATTCCATACCCTTTCATGAATTAAAAAAAAAAAAAAAAACCTTTAAAAAAACTAGAAATAGAAAAGACAAGATCCTCAATATGTTAAAGGGAACTTACATCTAACATATGTAATAGAACCATAGTGAACATTTTTCCCTTATGATTAGGAACAAGGCAAGGTTTTCTGCTCTCATCATTTCAATTTAGTATATGCTGGAGGTGCTAACCACTGCAGTAATGCAAGAAAAAATGAAAATATTGAAAAAAACAGAAATAAAGTCTTTATTCACTGAAGACATGATTGTTTATGTATAAAATCCTCAGGAATCTACAAAACAACTACTAAAAGTAATGTGTGAATTAAGCAAGGTCACAGAAATAATTATATACAAAAATCGATGAAATTTTTATGTACTAGTAGCAATTATCTTCAATCACATCAAAAAACAAAATACTTAGGAATAAATTTAACAAAAGCTGCACAAGACTTCTAAAATTAAAGCTGTAAAATATTGTGAAAGAAATTAAACAAGGCCTAAACAAATACATAATAAATACCATGTGAGTGGATTGGGTAACTCAATATTGTTCTCCCCAACTTGATCTTATAGATTCAACACAATCCAAAACTCTTAACAACTTTTTTTATAGAAAATGATAAGTGGATCCTAAAATCTATCTGGAAAAGCAAGGGCCTAATGAACCTCAAAAAACAAAAAAAAACAAGAAACAAACAGAAAGTTAAAGAGTTTCTTCATCTACTTTCAAGATTTACTACAAATCCAGAGTGATCAAAACAGTGTGACATTGGCGGAAGAATGGATAAATGAAACAAATGGATCCATAGAAAGCCCAGAAATAGATCCACACTCACACATATACAATTGATTTTCAGCAAAGTACCATGGCATTTCAATTTGGAAAAGGAGAATCTTTAACAAATAGTGCTGGGACAACTTGATAAACATACAGAAAGAACCACACCCACGACCTCACATAATATACTGAAATTAATATTGGATGGATCATAGAATGAAAAACTAAAACTATAAAGATCTAGAAGAAAACATAGAAAAGTATCTTCTTTGCAACTTTGGGCTAGGCAGGGATTTTTTAGGAAATAGAAAGTGCGACTGTAAATAATGATAAGCTGGACTTCATGAAATTAAAAACTTCTGCTAATCAAAAGGTATCATTAAGCAATAAGCTAATATAGATAATGTGTATATGAGTTTCTGTGTACTATTGATACTTTTGTGTGAGAAATTATTTCCAAATAAAAGGTTAACAAAAGATACCATTATGATAATAGGCAAGAAAGTATTCACAATGCATATATATGACAAAGGACAAATATCCAAAATATATAAATAATTCTCAGAATTATAAGAAAACAACCCAATAAAGTTGAGCAAATGACTTAACAGACATTACACAAGACATACCAGTAAACACATGTAAAAGTGGTCAAGGTGAGAGTACCTGGCTGGCTTGGTCATTGAAGTGAGCGACTCTTGATCTCAGGGTTGTGAGTTTGAGTCCCATGTTGGGCATAAAGCTTATTAAAAAAAAAAAAAAAAAGTAGTCAGTGTCATTCATAAGACAAATGCAAATAAAATCGCAATGATATTTGTTCATACCAACCAGAATTGGCTAACATGAAAGTCTGCTAGTACCAAAAGTTGTTGAGAGTATGGAACCACTGCAATCACTTTGGAGAATTATTTCTATAAAATTGTACATACTTATTCCCCAACTACCCAGTAATCCCATTCCTAGTTATCAAGAGAAAAAAATACTTGTTCACAAAAAGACTCTACAGGCATATTCAGACAGGTCTTATTTATGAGAAACCTATAAAATATCTATAGAGTCTATAAAATTATACATATTTATTCCCCAACTACCCAGTAATCCCATTCCTAGTTATCAAGAGAATGAAAATACTTGTTCTCAAAAAAACTCACAGGCATATTCAGACAGGTCTTATTTATGAGAAACCCATACCGGAAATAAGTATCCATCAACAAGAGAATGGATAGATAAATTGCATAGCCATACAAGCCTCAGCAATTAAAGAAAGGAATCATTGGTGCATGTTACAACATGGATAAATCTCAAAAATGTCATGTTAAGTGAAAAAGCCAGTCACAGAAGAGTATATGCTACACCATTTCATTTATAAGAATTTTGAGAACAGACAAAACTTAGACATGATGTTAGAAATCAGGAGTGATGATTGATGAGAGGGGGCCAAGAGAGAACTTTCTAAGGTGATGGAAATGTTCTATATTTTGTTTGGAGTGGTGATTACATCAGTGTATACATTTATCAAAGCACATGAGATTGTACTCTAAAATCCTCATTTCAGTTATACATATAAAATAAAGAAATCAAAGAGACTATAATTATTTGTTTTTATGATATCCATTCATCATGCAAGGTGGAATGTTGACTCTCCTAGTGTGAACAGTAAATTTATAAAACCCTTTACCTTGGCTAAAGACCCTGCATGATTTGGCTCTAGGCTACCCTTTCTACTTTATGCCCTCTTTTTACCTCCTAGGTCCTACCTAACCCTGCTGGCTTTATTATAAAGTAGATCATTTCTTGATGTTATCTAATTCCGTCTCTTCTTCTTCATTGCATTTAGGAGAACTGGCATTTATTTTTTCTCTTTCTCCTTTTTTACCTTGCTTTTCTCACCATCATATTCCCCAGTGTACTCCCAGGATACTGTCTGGTTCAGTGAGCTTTTTCTTAAATATGTGAATGAATGAATGTTCCTGTAGTTCTATATGTGGATAAAATGGTAGTCTGCTCAAATATTCTTCTGGAGTTTGATCCTTACCAATTCAAATAAAAATGACATAGTCTTTTCTCTATAAGCAAAGCAGAGCTTTAATAAAATTGTGCTCAACTGAGTTTTGGTTGGTGCAACCAAACTTTTTGTATGATGTGAGGGAACTTTTTCTTGCCTCTCCTTTTCCAGAATCCCAATATGGTTTTCCTTCTATTTTTCTAACCAGAGCTTCTTACACAAGAGACCTAATAACATGACAGTGCTTTCCAAACATATTTGATCCTGTGCCCTATTGGTAAAATGTTTGAGCACACTACCCACATAGGTACATTTATTTATTTCAAAAACACATTTATTTGGAAATGTGCACAAAAATAATATTTGTAAAGGATGGGATGAAAGATAGCTCTAACCACCCCACCTCCCCGTGTGCTCATCCCACTTTGAAGACACTGCCTTGGGGCAAATATTATACTATATTTACTTATACATCTAAATATAAAACTGCAGTAAGCTTAACACTTTTGCATTTTAACCTTACCTCTGACTATGGATTGAAAGGCTTTATTGCTTTTTAAATAAATTTATAGTATTGTTTAGTGCAGGTAGGGTATAATTTTTAGGTGGGGCATACTCTGAATTCATCTCATCTAATTTTTACTGTATTTATTCGTAACATTGTTCACTGATAGTTTTTCTACAGAAGAATATGTATTTTAGAGGGAAGAAATAATGAGATTAGAAAAGTAGGAAGGGAGATAAGGAAAAGCTATAGAAAAGGCCATGTTGGAGCACCTGAGTGGCTCAGTTGGGTAAGCATCTGACTTTTGATTTTGGCTCTCAGGTCATGATCTCACAGTTTGTAAGATCAAGCCCTATATTGCACTCTGCACTGATAGCACAGAGCCTGCTTGGGATTCTCTCTCTCTCTCTCTCTCTCTCTCTCTTTCCCTCTCTCTCTGCACCCCCCCCCCCCCCCACTTGCATGCACACTCTCTCTCTCTTTCCAAATAAATAAATAAACATCTTATCGCTTCTCGGCCTTTTGGCTAAGATCAAGTGAAATAAATAAACATCTTTTAAAAAAGAAAAGGCTATGTTGACTTAAAATATTTAATTACACTGTAAATATTAATAGTAGTTCATTTGAATGAAATGTTGTCAGCTTGGGGGATTACTAATTGTAGAAAATTAGCAGTTTGTACATGTAGATAAAGTTGCTAAAAATGGTAGAAACATCACTATTCTCCGGTAAAAAGACAGTCTTTAATAAGCATCAACTCTACCATATAGCAGCCTGAGACAGGTTTGGAGATTTTAAGCCTCCTGTTGCCTCTGAGACCTAAAGGAAGCAGAACATAAAAATGAGCCTCTATCAATTTGAAGAAAACCTAATCTTTGTGATCATGACTGTGGTCTAAATCTATTAAAGATGTTCAAATTCAGTGTCCTTGGTATCACTGTGGCTTGACCTGAATAGTGAGCAATAAACTTGTGTATTATAATTCTGGTTTGAAGATATGTGCTTAGGAAGTGAAACCGACAGTCAGTGTTTTGTGTCTGTCTCTAAGCAGACTAAGAGCCTATATAAAATGACAGGTGCATTTCTAGGGAAAGAAACCCATAATGTTTTCCTATTTAGTAGGTGACAGTATGTCCCAAGATAACACAAGCTTAAGGGGCTGGAACAAGCATGGTTATTAAAAGCTAGCAGTTTCTCAGTTCATACAAATTGAATTTTTTCATAGGCTAGAAGACTGTGGAAATCTAGTGTAGAGTACTGAAATAAATTAGCATATTAAGTGAATTTATACATTCAGGCTAGTGAGCACTTTGAATTTAAGGAAGAAACTTTATTACTCCTTGAAAGAAAAAAAAAGGCAGTTCTTAAATTCTGTGTTTGATCTCCCTATTGGAAAGGGCCTATATGATAAACTATATCATTTTGATGATTATCCAAAGCAGCAGTTATTATATTGATGAAAATCTTTCTCTTTTCTTTCTTTTTTCAGAATTACTGATTTAGGGAACATTAAAAGAAGATTGTATTTATCAACGGTCCATAAGGAACTGTCCTCAACTCCTCTCCATGCAAAAATCCCACTTTTCATGATCAAGCGCAAAATTGTAAGTGTCACATGAATGTTGCTTAAAATATTAAATTTAAATTCAGCAAATACTAATTATGGGCCTACTCTGTGTATAAGGTACTTTGTTAAGTATATAAAAAAGAATAAAATGCATACTCTTCCTTTCCCTCCCATGAAAGAGCTTAAAATCCACTAGGTGGGAGAATATAATTATTTGAGCATCTGGAATATTACCAAAACTGATAGAAAGCTCAGTGAAGAGAGGAGTTCTACTGGTATCATGAAAGGGAAAGAAGCCCATCTGACTGCAGGATGAGGAAAGGCTGCATGAAGAAGATTACAGTTAGTTGGGCCTTTGAAGGACTGTAAGAATTTAACAGATAGAGAAGGGAAGTGAGCATTCCAAGCAGAAGGAACAGCATGAACAGAAGCTTGAAGGCTGGAAATTGGTACACATTTGGAGAACAAAGAATGATTAATCATTGTGGCCAGATTTTCAAAAAATAGCCTTAAGGAAACAGCAGTCCTGTAATACAACAGTCAGATATAGGTTGGGAGATTTTATGCCTATTGTGTAACCTCTAAGACCTAAAGCAGCAATAATGTATGGAGATGTAAACTGTAGGTTACAGGCCAAGAAATTTGAGCCTGATATGACTTGACTAGTCTTTCTCAAACTTCAGTTATTTTAGTACTACTCTCATGACTTTACCATGTTTGTGTACAACCTGTGATTAATACTTTCCTTTAAATAACTCACCTTTGGGGATCTTAAATACATTTATTTTAGAAGAAACCTTTTACCACTTACTCAGATGTATGGATGCCAGTATAAGGAAGGATCATGAAAAGTCAGGTGAATATGACACCTGGAAACTAATAAAGCTCTAATAACTGATCCTAAACAAATGGAGATCTGTGATGTGTCAGACAAAGAATTCAGAATAATCTTCTTTTTTTTTTAAATGTTTATTTATTCTTGAGACAGAGACGGAGTGTGAACAGGGGTGGGGCAGAGAGAGAGGGAGACACAGAATCCTAAACAGGCTCCAGGCTCTGCACTGTCAGCACAGAGCCCGACGCAGTGCTCAAACCCACGAACCGTGAGATCATGACCTGAGCTGAAGTCGGACACCCAACCGACTGAGCCACCCAGGCGCCCCCAGAATAATCTTCTTAAAGAAGTTTGGTGACCTACAAGAACATACAGACAGACAACTCAATGAACTTAGGAAAACAAACTACACACAGCACAGGATTTTTGAGAAAGGAATAGAAAACATCAAAAATAAACTAACAGAAATGCTAGAGCTGAAAAATATAGGAAGTTGAACTGAAGAATTCAATAGAGAGCTTCAAAAGCGATTCAACCATGCAGAAAAAAGAATGAGTGACCTGGAGGACAAGGCAATTGAAATTATCCAGTCAGGGGAGTAAAAAGTGAAATGAAATGACAAAAAGTGAAAAAACCCCATGAGAATTATGAGACACAAGGAAAATTTACATTATGGGAATATTCCCAAAATTCACATTATGGGAATTCCAGAAGAAGAAGAGAAAGAGAAAAGGATAGAAAGTGTATTTAAATCAGTAATGGCTCAAAACTTCCCAAACATGGGGAGAGAAATAGATATCCAGATCCAAGAGGCCCAAAGGACCCCAAATAAGACTACACAGACATATTACAGACATATTACAATTACATGTTGAGTCAAAGAAAGAATTTTAAAAGCAACAAGAGAAAATAGAGAAGTTACATACAAAGGAATTCCCGTAAAACTATGGGGAGATTTTTCAACAGAAGCCTTTCAGGCCAGAAGAGAATATGATAAATATAAAAGAAATATTGATAAATATTAAAAAAAAAACTTAAAATCAACCAAGAACATGATACCTAGCAAAGCTGTCTTTCAGAAACAATGGAGGGATAAAGCCTTTCCCAGACAAAAAAGCTGATGGAATTCATTACCACTAAACCTGTCTTACAATAAATGCTAAAGGGAGTTCTTTGAGTAGAAATAAAAGTCCTCTAACAACATGCAAATGTAAGAAGGCAATGTAAAACTCACTGTATATGTAATAGAGTTGGAGTCTGTAACAGGGCAATTAGTGGTGCATAATTCATTTATAATAATATAAAATTGCATTCACCCTTCTATGTTTAAGTATGATTTCCTTATTCATCTAAGATTTTTTAGAGTTCAACGTTAGGTGGTTTCCAAGAGTTAAATTGTATGTGAGACCAATACACTTTTCTGTGTGCGGTTAAATGAATCAAATCTGTCTTTACCTTGCTTTTGTGGGTTCAGTCCCCTTTGTCAGTTAACTAACTGAAGTTCTAGATATTTTCTTAAATTTTAACTGATCATTCTGTACATGGCTATAATACACACACACACACACACACACACACACACACACACAGTGTTATTTGTAGGAATACAGTATTTGAAAATCAAATACTATCTTTCTTTACAAGTGAACCTTGATAACATCGCAAGTGAACTTGATTGACCAATATTTCTTATTTAACAAATAAGTCACATGAATTTGTGCTAGCAGCACCAGGTATCTAACGATACAAGAAGTGTACTGCCGAAACTAAAAAATAAATAGTAATATGTGTAATAGGTCCTGTGGGGCAGTGTTCTTTGATTCATCTACCTCATCTTCCCACTCTCCAGTTAGATGACTCAGTGGAGAATAGTTACATGTAGTTTTTAAAAAATCCTGGTGTGAAGAAAGCAAATTGGTCGCTATTTTAGGTAAGTTTAAGTCATGCTAAATTTTAAAAGGCAAAGCAGTCATAATATTTGTAACATATATAGAACTTTTTCCTCAATGTGGTTGAATCTAGAAAGAATTGTTCACTTATATTTGAGATAGTTCTAAGCAATAAGCAAAGATAAAATATTTTTTCTATAGTGTTCTGGTTGAATCTGGAAAGAATTGTTCACTTACATTTGAGATAGTCCTAAGCAATAAGCAAAGATAAGACATTTTTTTCTATAGCATTCCCCATCCCAGTGAAATCACCAAGTCATAACTGCTTGTAATGTATTCTAATTATTTTATATTTTGTTAAATACAAACCCATAAGTAATATATAGAAGTTAAGAGCATGGTATCTGAATTCTGACAGTTACTAGTTATGTGACCCTGTGCAAGTTTCTGTTCATTTTCCTCATCTATAAAACGCAGATAATATGAGATATACATCCTATTAAGATTGTTGTGGAGATTTACACAAGTATATAAACATGAGGCTTTTAGAACAGTGCCTGGCACAGTCTTAAGTCATAGATAAGGATTATAGCTTCAGTTTGGTCTTTAGTTGCTATATCTTCCAGGAAGCCCTCCATGATATCCCCTCTGTGGTTTAGATATTTGGGGTATAGTTCACCATTGCCATTCACAAATTCATGATCTTCATAACCCTTCTTCAGTCTGTACCTAAATCATATTTGCTTATGTATCTCCCCGCCTTTAGACTATAAGCTTGTCTTAATTGACTTTTATCCCTAGTCCCTATAAGTACATGGCATGTAGTAAGTGCTCCATAAATATTTGTTCAACCAAATTGGCAAATCTTACTATGTCTCCTGACATGGGAGAGAAAATAAATGAGTTTGTCATGTACCTTTCTAAATGTGCTTGATAATCTCAGAAGTATTCTGTACTATTCAAACAGATATTTAAAAATTCAGTTCTAAAACTTATACTCCTTTCCCCTCAATCCAAGAGATGCTACAGCGCAGAGTGTCTTTCATTTCCACTGTTAATGCAGTCTATTCCCATTGGGCCCTTACCGAATTAAAGCTGAACCGTGTTTTAGGGGAACCTTCTATAGCAAGAAGTAACATGAGAGAGAGCACCACCCATTCAGAATGCCATTGCTAGGATCCTCCTTGGTGTTGGTGTGGTGTTGCTCTAGTTCTCTGCTTTTTGCCAAAACTTTCTTCACATCTACTTTCTTAGGAACTGTAGATACTTTGGTGGTAAACTTTGAAGCACAGTATTTTAAAGCTCTTTAGCTAACATTTATAAATCAGAAATTGTCAATATTGTCTGTTGTGCAGTGAGCAGTTAGCTGAAGCCGAGTGGCAACTGCACACTTTAATTTTTTTTTTTAATTTTTTTTCAATGTTTATTTATGTTTGGAACAGAGAGAGACAGAGCATGAACGGGGGAGGGGCAGAGAGAGAGGGAGACACAGAATCGGAAACAGGCTCCAGGCTCTGAGCCATCAGCCCAGAGCCTGACGCGGGGCTCGAACTCCCGGACCGCGAGATCCTGACCTGGCTAAAGTCGGATGCTTAACCGACTGCGCCACCCAGGCGCCCCCAACTGCACACTTTTAACAGAGCTTTGAGCTCTGTGTGAAGTTTAGTCCTCTCCACTCATAAAGAATGCAGGTGCACTCAGACCCTTCCTGCTCCATACATTTGGGTTATCTACATAGGCCCTCTGAGCATACAGTTTGCAACCTCAATTTAGAGGATAATTGCTAAATACTCCACTTTGCTTTGTTCTTTAGCTAAAACCTTTACATAGCCAAAGGCAGCAAATAAATATTCTTATAGCCACACCAATATGAATATTTATGTATAGGCCACTTACTATTCCAGTTACCATTAAATGTTCAACCTTTCAAATAAAAAAAATTTTTTTCATGTTATTCTTAATTATGAGTGATTCACTTTAACATTTTTTTTTCAACGTTTATTCATTTTTGGGACAGAGAGAGACAGAGCATGAACGGGTGAGGGGCAGAGAGAGAGAGGGAGACACAGAATCAGAAACAGGCTCCAGGCTCTGAGCCATCAGCCCAGAGCCCGACGCGGGGCTCGAACTCACGGAGCGCGAGATCGTGACTTGGCTGAAGTCGGACGCTTAACCGACTGCGCCACCCAGGCGCCCCATCACTTTAACTTTTAATTGCAACAATTTCTTCTTTTAACTTAGGTTTTCAATGGTAAGAGCAATTTGAAAAATTAATAACCATCAGATTAAACAATGGAGATAGCCACTTAGTCA